AAGAGCAAAAACGAATATCTACCAAATTTCATCGAAAAATATTCACCGGTTTTCAAGATATTAGACTTTTACTTTTGTTTACTTTTTGGGATCTCCGCTGTTCCTAGCGACTTTATTTGAAAGTGCGGCATTTGTTGCGCGCAAAGCAGCATATACCACAGCGTGCTACAAAACGTTTTAGTCAAACATTAAATGGACGTTCGAAAGCCTGATGACGTCATCAGATTCCCGTAATGGTTAAGAGATAGGGACCACGCTGGTCCCACCCTGCAAGTAAAGGGAAGAAATTTCTTGAACACCATAAAGCTGCGGGGGTTGCGACCAGGATAAATGGTGGTTTCTGAGCCTGGCCGCAAACTTGGCTATCTCAACTCAAAACTAATGTTAAGGTGGGAGGGTCCCTTTAACGCCAGACGCCTTGAGACCCTAATTTTTCGCGATTATTTTAAAATGCGTGGACTAATTCCAACCATATTTAGGAAATAGTTGTTTCAAGACCTGCCGAAACCTTTTCTTTAAGTACATTTTGTTGTCACTTAAATATTTGTGGCACTTGTCATTGACTCGTAATGTTAACTGTTTTTCCATCCTGGATAGAGGCTTTCATACGTCATATGACAATAGGCTCCGCCCACGACTGCGGCATTAACCCGTGCCCATCAGCGACCTCTGTACAAACGACACCCCTGCCATCTGTAAAGGACTATGAATTTCGCTGACGTTTCACGTGCTATGAATCAATTGCAGCAGACCGTCAAGTAAATGTTAGGCTTTTGTTGACTCTTGTAGGTATATGGGACCAAGAGGACCATCACTCCTCAATCTACTACTCACAAATGCTTCGAAAAAACGTTAACGATACCTAACAAATACGATTTTCGATGTAGGATATCTGTTTGGTGAAATACGAGCGAGCCTTATAGTGAAGCGAAGGCAATTAGCTAATTATTGCGCTGGTCGATGCGTGCATAGCGATGTACAAATCAGGAGCTACTTGATGACATCCGACATCCCATTATCGCATTATCTGCAACGCCATAGGCTTTAAATACAGGTGAATATTTCCTAACCTTATGTCAGTTATATGCCCTCTGCCCGTCATTTGCAGCTTATAAAAATAAAACAAATATCAGCGAACATATCAGCATTGTACAAGCAATGCGCATTGAGCATTTATGGCTCCTCAGTCATCATGTCGCTCTTTGGGCACTGTCAGACAAGACGTTACGCACAACTCCGCCGGCTTCCGGCACCGCTCGACCGTCCCCGCTCCCCGCCACAGCGCGAGTGATCGCGCGCCGGCCCGAAACCGCCGCAGGCCAAGACCGCAGAGGCGGGGCTTAGCTGTGACGTCATAACGTATCAGAGACTGACTGGTGATAGCCTCTACACGCCGGGTGAAAATCTTGCTCGAAATTTAACATTACGAGTCAATGAGAAGTACCTGAAATATTGAAATGGCGACAAAATATCTAAATTGTAAAAGTTTCGGCAGGTCTTGAAACGGCCATATCCTGAGCTTGGTGGAAATTCTTCCAAGCATTTAAAAATAATCGCGAAAAATTAGGGTCTCAAGATGTCTGGCGTTAACAGTAGTGCGTAGGTTTCGTACATCTTTGGACAAATGGCTGGCTTGGAATTTTTGGACGGACAGTCGACTTAAGTATTGAGCATTGGACGGACATTGGACATACATTTTCTGAAATTGACACTAGTCACGACCTACGGCTGTCGCAAGCTCAACCCTGCAACCCGCAAAGTCACGCACGCGCTCCCGTAGCTGCTGTATTTCCCCTGACCCCGGGTCGGCCGCCGCGCCGGCCGGCACGCCCGCGACCCGGCCAAGGTCACGCCAGGTGACGTCACCATATAGGAGGGGCATCAGGACGCCCCTGACGCCTCCTTTTCTTCATCCCTGACCTACCACTTGGATTGCAGCGGGCACAACAGGTGGTCGCTGAAGTGAAGAGCCTCAAATACACTAATCTGACTAATCCAACCGTGCAGCGTGCTGAGCCGTGTTGGTAACCGGTCGGACGACGACTTCGGCGATGTTGGAGCTGCACCACACATGTCACATCGCTGTGACGCCGTGCTAGTTAGGGCGCCGACGACTTCGTGTCCACCATCGTCATGTGCGCCTTGAAGGACGTAGCGCCGAACGCGGTGCTCAGAGGCTCGGGAAGACGAGCCGGGCCCTGGACCCGATTCCTCGCGGAACTAAGCACCTCTGTTGTCTCCTTGGTGAATAATAACGAGAGGGGCGGCATCGTCTCGGCGAGCTGGGGGTCGTTTTTTTTAGTGGCCTGAGTTTGAGCTATTTGCCTCGTGATGCGGGCGAGATAGGACGCCTGCGAGCGCCCGCCGCTGTGGGAGCGTATCCGGGGAGCTTACTTTCAGTTATGCTTTACCGAATTTCTCGCATATGAGATTACGTTGCTGCCGCTAGATTTCGCTGCAGTTTGCGACTGGGGTTATGCTGTACCGCACATCTCCAAAACTATGTATGTTGCACCGCTGCCGCAAGATGTCACCACTGTTTGCGCCTGAAGTTATACTGTACCGCACATCTCCGAAACTATGTATGTTGCACCGCTGCCGCAAGATGTCACTACTGTTTGCGCCTGAAGTTATGCTGTACCGCACATCTCCAAAACTGTATGTTACACCGCTGCCGCAAGATGTCACTACTGTTTGCGCCTGAAATTATGCTGTACCGCATATCTCCAAAACTATGTTGTGCCGCTGCCGCAAGATGTCACTACTGTTTGCGCCTGAAGTTATGCTGTACCGCACGTCTCCAAAATATGCTGTAGCGCTGCCGCAAGATGTCACTACTGTTTGCGCCTGAAGTTATGCTGTACAGTCAGTCTCAAAGTATCGCGCAGCAGTGCGGGGGATCCATCAAGCCCGACCGGCGACCGTGGAAGGACGGCTAAATTTGAGTCGCCGAAGCAATTGACATCCTAGTCCATGCCCCATGTCAGTTGGTTCGGTGACTTTGAAAATATAGCAGGTCCTACCTCGGTCAGGCTTGATGGATCCACCGCACTGTTGTGCGGTACCTTTAAAGGGACCCTCCCACCTTAACATTAGTTTTGAGTTGAGATAGCCAAGTTTGCGGCCAGGCTCAGAAACCACCATTTATCCTGGTCGCAACCCCCGCAGCTTTATGGTGTTCAAGAAATTTCTTCCCTTTACTTGCAGGGTGGGACCAGCGTGGTCCCTATCTCTTAACCATTACGGGAATCTGATGACGTCATCAGGCTTTCGAACGTCCGTTAAATGTTTGACTAAAACGTTTTGTAGCACGCGGTGGTATATGCTGCTTTGCGCGCAACAAATGCCGCACTTTCAAATAAAGTCGCTAGGAACAGCGGAGATCCCAAAAAGTAAACAAAAATAAAAGTCTAATATCTTGAAAACCGGTGAATATTTTTCGATGAAATTTGGTAGATATTCGTTTTTGCCCTTTCTGAACCGAGCGACATCACTTTCATGCCAATTCATTAACTTTTTTGAAGGTGGGAGGGTCCCTTTAAGACTGACATAACTACTGCGCACCCCCAAAATTATGTTGTACCTATTTTTATACAATTATACACTGTGGTTGTACCCAAGATTCTTACACATAGGTTGTACCGCTGCCGTAAGATATCACTACAGTGTGCGCCTGAAGGTATACTGTACCGCATGCCACATTATTACAATAGGTACACCGAATAAATAAACGTGTCAAAGTTATTTAATAAGTGTCCACACCGCTCTGATGAAGGGCGAGTCGTTACGATGCTTTGTTCGTGATCCCATGGGGACTGGAGAGGGTGGGTGAACACACGTATAGGCCCATGCTGGTTTGTATCGCCATTCCTTAGCGGAAAATAAAGCAGCATTCGTTGGAAAAGAAAATGTTTCGTTTTTGAGAGAGTCATGAGCGAGCTTCGGGAACTTGGATAACGAAAACGTTATTAGGTCTATATACGGTTGTACGCAAATAGCTTTGCGCTGCTTTTTTGACATGGCTTACGACACATTTTCGCACGTTAATATTTGAGACCCAGGTCACCCAAGGTCAGGTCACCGGGGCACGTCAAGGGTCAAAAGAGCTCAACTCCGGAAAATAATTATGCTCGCTATAGCTACAGACACAACGATTGCTTTTACACTTCCAGCGACTGATCAAAATTACGGAATGCAGAAAAAGTAGGTTTATCAATTTTTCTATCTGCGACAAAAGGTAAGGTAAGGTCAACATTGCGACGACTTCATTATAAGTCGATTGGAGAGTGTCGAACCGTGCCTCATATGGAAAAGGTCCAAATGAGGTCTTAACAATCGCAAACCCCGTTTGACAGGTACCTATCAAATAATGAATCAGATAGTTGCCCTTGACCCTACCATGGATGAGATAATACCATGGAGATACCTACCATGGTTACATAGGTAGTATTATTCCATCCATGGCCCTACCAATTACCATGCATCGACCATAACTTTTTACAAACATGTTAGATCGATGAAAACACCTAAGATGCATTCACTGCTCAGCTCAACAATACGAATGGACTTTATGTAGCACACTTTTCCCGATTAGGTCATGACCTTGCCCTTGTAATCGAACTTTCAAATTGACTTTCAGGTAAAATCACCTGGTTTCATCAGCTCGTCTGTACAAGAAAAACACGATGCTGGCAAAATGGATGCGCCATACAATGCGACGAAGATTAAAAGATATTTCCGAAACGTGCTTCCCGGAAAGTCACAATTGACATTTGACGGTTTCTACCATCCAACACTGCACGCTAAGCCGCTGACGTATCAAAGCTGTCAACACAATAGCGAAAGGACTGTGTACCCGCGCCTGGGGGTGTACGCAAAACGACTGTATATTTAACCCGAGCCTGAGCGGTGGTCCGATTGTAACACATCGTGACGGTGGCGGGGGGGGGGGTCGAACTCGGCTCCTGGGCAACGTAGCGACACGCAGTACGCGACATCACTTTCAACCGAACCATTTATTTAACCGTACTTTGGTCAGTACATTTTAATTCGATAACCACCCAACACGCACAAAACATTATCATCTACAGTGATGTGATGTTGGAACACAGTCAGTGTGAGGGTCCCCCTACCCTCCCCCCTCAGCGGTGGTATGTAGTAACAAGTGAACGCATGTCCCGCGTCGGGCAGGGCTAAAGCCGGTTGGGCCAGCCTTAGATACAGAGCGGCACAGGACTGTGTGGGGCGGTCTCAACGAGCGGGGAGGGCCGCCTTACGAGCACGCGCTACAGTAGAACCCTTACTCATGTGGCAGTTTGTTCAGTCCCATATCGTTATATTTCCCGCGCACAGGCAAGCGTGATTGACTGCAGAGTGTCCATGAGGTCCAATACCAGAGCCAGATCATTCCAAAAGGCCGGAACTACTTGCCCTTGGAGAAACCGAAAAGCATTCACACCTTTCCTGAATCTCACCGGTGTGCACAGTACCTGGCAGCCCTTGATGCCTCACAGCGATTGAAGAACATTTCGTGGAACATTTCGAGGATCCCTACACGAGTTGTTCAGCTCCTAACAGCCTCACACAGATCAATACGCCAGGTTTTGGAGCCGGAGTGCTAGCAGCAGTCCCCAATGAACTACTACAGACCAGCAATACTGCCGTCTTCCGGCGCATATTGATCGGTGGAGACAGCGCGCGGCGTTCAGAAGTCTTTTCACCAGCCGACGCCCAGCCGTTGAGACATTCGCCATCAGCCATCGCTATCTTCCTGCAGCATTTCAAACACCGATCGTCATTCGTCCCTGTCGGCCGGTGCCTTCACTGCCATCTGGCGGCCACACACGGAGGCTGAAGTACTCGCCGGCGCCGCGGCCGGCGCTGCCCGTCCCCCGAGCCCGCTCTCGGAGAGCTGCGGCGTGGTGGACGGACGATCACAGGTAGAGGATATCGTAGTGGCCCGGTCGGTAGAGCAGTCGGACGCGCGGCTCCGTCACGCCCTCGGGACAGAAGTCATGTGCGTTGACCTCCGTACCGCCCCGGTCCATGTACTCGACGCGCACGCCCACACCAATGGCCGCCGTGAGGCACGTGATGTGGATGTGGTCCGACTCTTTGTACATGGGCTCCACCTCCTGTGAGAGAGGCGGGCGGTGGACATTGTCAGAGCACGTCAGGGTTATCAGCGGTAGCAGCTATAAACAGCCCAAAACTGCTCGCATTCAGGCATAATGATACCAGAAAACGACAAAAAAAAACTTTGAAGGCAGTAGTAGTACACACTTTTTCGAATAAGTATCGTTCAATGACACAGTTCTACACAGCAAAATGTACCTACACTGATAGATACCACTGCCCACCCATCCGTCTCTGTCGCCTGACTGACCAGCGCGCAGAAGTCTTTGACGGTCGGATGGCCGTCCAGGAAGTGGACGTAAAAGTCGGCGTTCTTCTGCATGTGGCCGGAGGTGATGAGCCGCATGTAGACGACCACGTAGTCGGAGTAGGCCGGCTCGCTGAGCACGGCCTCAATGTCGGCAGCCGACTGCGCCACACGCACCTTGTCCAGCACCTCCATGTACTGGGGAAGGGGAGGAGGCATCAGGTATCAGGGGAGAGAAGGGATGGACGAACAAATTCTCCAACGGGTGTGCGTAACAAGTAGGCCAAAACATTTCGTCATCAATACTCGCATATGTAATTACGCGTGATTCGTAAAAAAAAACGATAACAACGTAGCACGTACGAAAAATGAAGTTATATTACAAACAAAGTAACCAGTACAGGCATGCACCTCAAATAGGTATACAGATATGCACAGATAACTACAGCTAAGGCTGAGCTAGACACGATAAATCAGGACACTGAGTAACACCGCGCATGAGGTATGGAGCAAGGTCTGGGTCCGCCAGAGGGTCGCGGCTCAGATCGACACCTTGTAGCACAAAACTTGCCCTCATTTCCTCATATATCTTTCTATACATTATAAGGCGAGTAGAGATTGAGCTGATGGATTTTGAGGGTGATGATGGTATGTCTTGGTGTCCGGCAAAAGAATGGGATGCTGATGGTGTGTCGTAGTCGTGGGTTTCAAGCGCTGGGGATGGTGGTGCTGTTGGGTTGGATTGAGCTGGTGAACGTGGCTGAGGGAGGGTGTGAGAGAAGTGGGCCTGAGTGTTACGGGTGTCATGATAAGTCTGTTGTTTCGGTGTATGATGTGGAGCTGCACGTGGTGGTGAGGTTTGGTTGGCGGGGCTCATGGAGGAGGAATGACAGCAGAGCCTCTTATTGCTACCGCGTTTCCGTACGAAATGTATTTTGGTGAAAACAAAACATTTGACTTACCATGTCATGGAAATCCTCTAGGGTGAACTTTGGAAAGCCCAGAGCTATCAACTCATCTTTGCTATCTTTGGCTATTTTGTAGAACCTGTAAATGACAGATGCGTAAATGTAGACAGGAGTACATACCTAGCAAGCAAGATGTAAAAAGTACACATTCAAGCCAAGTAACACCATTAATTGGAACATGATAAGCGGGCAAAAAGTAGTAAGGAACGCAATCTGATTTAGGTCATTTGGTTTTGATAGAGTAACATCTGGAGGAATATACCTACACATATTACAGCTGTTACACTGGTCCATATTGACCATCAGTGTTTTGAAAATAAAACGTAAACGAACATAAGCTAAATGTAACCTTTTTAGCGATGGTATGCCCAATTGCCCACAATATGTATTCCCTATCCCGGGCGCAGCAGCGCCCCAGGACAGACTACTCACCTGTTAAACTCGGTCTCGTCGCCGATCAGGCTCTCGAAGTAGCCGAACGTGAAGGCTCTGAAGAAGCAGTTGCCATCCGGCCTGGTGCGGCGCAACGTCTGGTACTTGGTGCTCAGGTGCTTCACCTGGGCGGAAACGAGAAGGTCAGCGACTTTGGTTGGAATGGTAATCAATCGTTTTATGGTAAAAACAGGCCATCAAAACAGTACCTATATAGTCTGAAGATTTTTGGTGACCATTCAATTACTCGACTATTGTTTGTTCGATGACGAACGATGAAGTTTTACACCTCATTGCCAGCAGGGTCATTATGCGCCCGTGCGCTGGACAGCGGACCTCCCTGCCCCCTCAGCTTGAGGTCACTGAGGTCACCTTTTGCTGGTAGACGGGGTCGCTCGAGTACTCGTCTAGCAGACAGGTGACGTCCTCTACGGCCCCCACCAGCGCCGTGGTGGCGGCTATCTGTCAGAGCGGCAAGCCAATAACGTCACTGACAAGGTGTGATACAAATGCCAGCCAAGCATGTCACTTAATTGCTGCGTTGAATGTGACGCATAGGTAGTAGATATATTGGACAGGTATGTAGTAAAGAGCAAGTAGCATACGAATATATTCAAGTAGCAATTACATATAAATTAGTAGCAAATTAAATAAATTAGTAGCAAGTAGCAATTTATATGTAATTGCTACTTGAATATATTCGTATGCTACTTGCTCTTTACTGCATAGGTATAGTTCGTTTTTCTTAAGTTTGCCCCTCACTGTAAACGTCTTCTTGAACACAGCACGAGAATTGCTAGCTGAATTACTGAGAAAACTGGTTGGCGCACAATGTATTGGATATATGAACAATATTTTCAAAATAAGTTTTGAGCACAAACGATGTAACGTTAATGTTAAACGCCGTGCAATTTATTAATTAGTTCAGACATAATTCCTGAGAAGTCGTCTATCACTGTGGAACTGTAGGTATGGGCAACTACGAGCTATGAGTCTGTGAAATAGTAAACAAATTTGATAAAATTGATCGTCTGTGAAATCTGGTGAAATCAATGTGCGCCAATCAGTTTTCTCAGTAATTCAGCTAGCAATTCTCGTGCTGTGTTCAAAAAGACGTTTACAGTGAGGGGCAAACTTAAGAAAAACGAACTATAGTAGGTATAACTGCCACTCAAAAGTGTAGGAGCTCAGGCAGCTTTGCTATCACATCTATGTATAGGGTGACTTACCTCCTGTTCAATTTTCCTTTGCTGGGCCATGACCAAATCATCTTGATTTAGATCACCTGAAAGACAATAGGTAACTCAATGTACCTAGGTGCATATAAGCATTTCACTTTTATTTGACATCCAAGCAAGATGAGTAGGTAACAATTGAAATGCAAGTGACTTTTGAGGAATTGAAAATAGATGAGCATACCTGAGGTCTCTGCAGCATTTGCTTCCTCTGCCATGATGGAATATCTATCACTTGAGTCAGGTTCTGAAGGCAAGTGTTTCTCTCTGGAAAGATAAATTGTGATTGAATCAGATACACAACATTTTAGTTTATTGGTTGCCATGGTCTTCAAAAAAAAAAAAACTAACAACTGAATTGGCATGGCCATATTCTTTTCAACCTCCAGCTAAGACTAGGCACCTTCCTTTTGTACTCTCCTTACTATACATTCCTACACCCAGCTTATTACTTGAATCCAAGCATTTCTTGCATTACTGGCAGCCTGGACCACTAAGTATGACAATTTCAACAATATCTCATCAGCACACAGGCACTCTAGACAGTGTGACAGTGTCCAGTGCCATACATATTTACTGAGGTGTGGTGTGGAATTTGTGTGGAGCAGTGTTGCGGACTGCGGTGCAAGTTTTTATCCTATAACCTTTAAGGACTGTGCCAAGACACTGTGATTATGCTGTCAAAGCAGTCTGAGTCTGATAAAATGATGCAGGAGAGACACAATGGAATTTGGATCTGCCAAAGGCAAAAGACTTGTATTACAGTTTTGGTTAATGCTTCATCACAAGGGCAGATGTATAAAAATTGCTGAAGTCTATAGAAAGACTTCCTGTAGCAAGTCTTCCTTGGTGTGGGCTGGTGCAGAATCGCGTCCCGCGTCCCCCTAGCAGCTAGGGGACGACTTCCAAAATTTTCCAAGCTAGGGCCTAGCTTGTGCGTCTCAGCTTGTCAACCCAGGTGCCGTGCTTTGCAATCTGGCTGGTAACATTCTCCTTTCCAGTTGTCAAAAACCAAAATCACAGTTCATATTTCATATAAAATAAACCAAGTTTAAAAAGCCCACAATTAAAAAGTTAGATATTTCATTTCAAGAGAGGAGGCATGAGCAGTTAATCAGAAAAAAAAAACTTTCAATTCTTTCATGGCAGTGTTCAGATAAATCAACAGTAAACATTCAAATTTTGGAAGCTGACGGAACCACAAAATTTAACTTTTAACATTTACCTCTAATTTCTTGCAAAATCAAAAGGCCAATCCTCGCAAACTTTCACAATCCTTCAGCAGCGTTGCGGCTTGGGACTGCGGCACTTTCAACCAAGATACCTATAAGTGTGCCTATAAGCTTTCAACATTGAACATTTGTAAACACCACAAAGGCCTTCCGCGCTGGAAATGTCGCAAGGAATGAGTGCTTCCATATTAGGCAAATTTAGGATGTTTGTCCCTTTACGAACTTTCCTTTACACCGAACAAGTTTTCCGACACATGCGTTGACCTGCACGTCCAATCCGTCCAATCACGATATTCAAGTTTTTTGAATTTTAAAAAGTTTAATTTGATGTGTTTTCATATCTGGGCCTGCGGCCTGCTCGTACTAAAAGCCACACCATTCTGATTCCCGTCGTGGTCTCGATTCAAAACTCGGATTGGAATGGATTCGGGCCCGAGTTCTCACCACCGGGAATCCGTCGATCTGCCGGGCTCTACCACCGGAGTTTTGGGCGGACTTTCAATATATTTTGATCAAGATATGCCGTCCTAGTGATGAAAAGCTGCAAAAGTTGCAGGAGACCTACGCCAGACAGTCCCCGTCCTTCAACAATGAATGACCCTTTCTCATATATTGTCAATCAGATCACACACAGAATAGCGCGTCGTGTGTCTAGACTCTAAAAGCCTCCAAAAACCTCTCTGCCTGAGACGTAAATCAACGCCAAGTGATTGTATTCGTATATTGACAGTCATCGTTTTATCATTCCGGTGGAACACTCGTCAGCCCGCAACGTCGGGGCGTTACAATAAAACACAGCCTCCTACACGGAGGCACGTCCCTCCACACCGCTCTGCCGTGGCTGACGGGTCGGTCCGCCCACAGACCCGTCCCGGGCCGGTCAGCAGTCCACAGTCGGTGTCAGAGGTGCTCAGATGTGGTCGCAGACGGGTCCCCGGTCCTCGGTCTCCACACACTTGGAGTTGGGAGGACAATACTTGCCCTCGCAGCCGGGCCTCTCTGGGGGAACGGGCGAGAGCGAGCGGTCAGAGAACTGGGATACATGGTCAATCTACATAATACATCGAGTCTGTTAGAAGTTAGCACCCCGTAGGATAGATAGTCAATGGCTCAGAAACACCACCGAGAGTTTGACATTGCACGTACCAAGAAGCACTAAATCATCAATCGATTGTAACTTTACCGTGCATTCATAGCACGAAATTCGGTTAAATACTACGCCGAGAAATATTCAGTCATCGTACACCAACGTTAGTAAGCACAAATTTACGAGATAGAGTGTGCAATGTGCATGCCCCGACCGATCCACTGAAACAAAACACCATTAAACTATCACCTCCCCCCCCGTGCGGCTCCTGTCCCCCTACTCACTTTGTCCAGTCCTGCAGAGCGCACCGCTCTTGGTGTCGATACAGGTCAGGCCGTGCTTACACTCCCGCACTGCGCACGTGTTGGGCAGACAGATGGGCGAGCCGTTACGAATGTAGCAGTTGGTGCCGCGACGGCAGAAGAAGCCCTCGCATGACGGCACGTCTGTGGGAGGAGGGGGAAGGGGGGGGGGGGTGAACGAGAGGCGTATCTCAAAACTGCAGAGTAGTGCGTCAGGAACGGTGAATGCGATACGAAAAAACGGGTATAAAACAGACGGGTATTAAGTAAGTGTAGGGAATAAAGCATGCATTTATTCGCTGATAGCAGCATTGCCCCTCGAAATCATTGAAAGCAATAAGTAATAACCACCTTCCTCATGATCACACGTGACTTGTTACATGGTGCTGGCAAACATTCATTAAATGATGTTGAACGCCACTTACCGGGGACACAGTCGGGCCCGTCGGGCAGGTCGTTACACAGCTCTCCTGCCGCACACTTGATATCCGCGCAGCTCACTGAGGAAATACGGTGTGACAATGTCAGCAGGTGAGTAGCTTACAGAGCGAGAGCGGTAGGCATATGGTATGGCCAGCGGGTGAGTAGGGTACTGAAGGATGGTGAGCATAGTGCAGTCAACTGAAGAGTTGATGATAATACACTACCGAGACGTAAATTGCAGTGCCATGAACCGTTCTAAAAATTCATTGTGCAGTTTTCACCTTCGTCCTTCCGTTTGGCTGTCTTAAACCGATAAACATACAACTCACTAAAAATTAAACCCAACAGCTGATTCACACACTAAAAAGGCAATATTTTGTTTTAATCATTCCTACTTAATGTGCATGGCTAGCGCCTTCTGATAGAATTGTCGACCCCGCCATAGTTGAGTGACGCAACCATGCGTCACAATAAATACTCAAATTTCTTGGCTGATAATTTAAGGAAGCACTTACGTCTGATGCAGACGGGACCGGTCGGCCTGTCCTCACACCGCTCGTTCTCCTCACACTTGTGCTCCTTGCACGTCGGAATCTCTGCGGGAAAGAAACGATACAACGTAGTTATAAACAGTCCCAGGAACAACAGCGCGAGTGTGTACGATAAATATGACCCGCAGTTATGTCTGGTGGGCTGGCTTCTCATCTTCGTCGTTACCCAAGTACCTGTTTTTTTATAGTTACCGTTTAATAGCCGTTTACAAACTGTTAGCGACCGTTAAATCGCTTGTCGGTTCACCGGCTAACTTACTTGGTACGCACACCTCACACTGCTGGATTTCACACTCTGTCCGCTCCGGGCACTGCTTGGAACACTCTGAAACGAAACAAATGGCGATTTTAAGTGGCTTGTAGTTAACGATGGGCCCGTATTATTATCGCCGTTGATCTTCCCTTATTGTAGTCGTGGAGCGGCAGTAAACGGACCCATGCTGTATGGAATCAAACACGTGAACAAAAAGTCGACGGATGTGAAACTAGTCCAAGCATGGTAGACTTCATAATGCTTTATAATAATTTATCCCTCGCGAAATATCTTCATCATTATTATATTATGAAAATTAAACGTTTCGAATAGCTTCACGCAAATCCATCGCGTCCTACACCAAGGATGCGTCTTGTTTCCCTTTGCAGCTATAATTACAGAAATCGCACCCAGAGAGACGCGTAAACAGCCTCGTCTGACTCGCTCTAACATCCCCGCCCTGGACTCACGTCCCGCAGGCGGCTGGTTTAGTGTGAACGAGGGCCGGGATTTCCTGGCCTGGGCGCTGGCGCACGCCACCAGCACACACAGCACGGTCAGACGCAGCATGGCTGAGGTATCTGGAACACAGAGTGGGAAGTCAGTTAGCAGCTCTACCCGGTAGAGTTAGAGTCTAGAGTCTAGACGGTATAATCTAACGTCTACAGCGTGGGGATAATAGCAGACCAAAAAGGGGCAAACACGGTCTGTTGTAAGTTAACTCAATTTTTAAGCAAACTTTGCAAAAAGGCAAGTTCCTAAAGCCTCCTTCGTCAGCAAGAGAGATATAAAAGTCGATTAATCCACCTCTTTTTCATTGTGGTATATCATTTGATGCTATGCCACTATTTTCACTCAAAGCTCGTTTCGAAAGAAAGCTATGAAAGATTGTCATCAGTTATCCATTTTTCGCACTATTTTGACGCCAAACAATCACACTCTCGATCCACTGTATCCACTGCATCGTGCTGAGATTCACTGCAGATCCACGGCCGTTCCACTCACCGCGGCTCGGTCACGGACGGAGGCTGACAACTGCTCAGAGGACGGCCTCCCGGCAGCCTTTTATACCCACGGCCACGGCTCGCGCGGGGGTGGCGTCTCGCACGGGCTCAGCGGCTCGTGCGGGCTCGGCGTCTCACACGGGCCCAGCGGCTCGTACAGGAACGACTCAGTACGAGGCGGACGGTTCCGGGGATCTGGGAATGGCTTCAGGAACGGAGTGAGAACGACTGAGAACGATGGGAGGAACAGTCAGGAGTGGGTTGAAGAACGGGAGATGACGGACTGAGGGAGGGTTGACGAACGAGCCTGAAAAAAACGAGATCGAAACTGGATGAGAGACGGGCTAAGACAGGATGAGCAACGGGAGAGGACGAGACGTGAACACAGGCTGAGAAACGAGAAAGGACACACAAGGGATTTAACGAAACGGTGTACATATCTTTTGAAGAAGGGCTGGTGAATAGGCGGAACGGTCCGAAAACGGTGAGAAAAAAAAACCAGAAGCGGACTGATGAACGAGCGAGAGCGAACTGAAGAACGAGACCGGAAGCGGACTGATAGTAAGGTAATAGAAGGATCAGCAGTTGAATGGAAGGGGAACGGAGTGATCACGAGATGAGGAAGAAAAAGAACGAGATGAGAATGACATATAAGAACGACTTTCTAGCAGGGTTCGCGGGGTCCGGACCGCCCATTTCTTTCCCTCAATGCAGCTGCACTGTACGAGTATGTATTATATAATGAAGGCATTATATAATGTGCATTTTGGGCAAGACCCCCAATCCTTAAACCATGGCGGAGCCCCTGCGTTTCTGGACCGACCGATGACTACATCAAAAACCGAGAATAGAACGATCTGAGAAGCCCGATCTCCGGAATGGACTGAACGGTGGTCAGAAGGAACTGGGAAACAGGAAGACTTTCAATGAACTGAGTAGCGATCTGGAAACGAGGAAGGGACAAGTGGTTCGTTCTAAGATGCAGAAAGAAAGTATCAAGTTGTTTCGATCAGACCTTGAGCTGCTGCTACCTGTAGGTATATGCACGAACAATTAGCCATTGTAGTTGTGTAAGCACTAAAGACAAAAAGACGTGCATAATCAGTCGTATTCGTCAATCACAATAACGTGTCAATACCCACGTTAAACGTAGCCACGTAATGTGTAGTTACAGATAGATAGTTACACTATCACGCATAAGCAGACGCATAGGTATATCTAGTCGTTCTCGTTAACCCTTGGACATTTCGTTTTTAAGAATCGGTCAATATCATCTACTTTAACTCCAATCTTCATGCTGGATAACTCGACAGTTACGAAGTGTTAACAAGTGATTGTCTTAAACTACCTTATAAGTTATAAGGAGGCATAAGGTTATCACTTGTTGGCATTAAGCCTAGCGATGCATGGATTAAGACACGGTAAGATCCCGTCAGGATAGGAGCGGGGCGAGGAGAGGATTTTCTGTGCGGCTGTAGCCACGTCAGCCAGCCTTGGACGGCCAGTCGGCGATTGTCCGATCAAGGAGAGTCGGCCGAGGGCAGGAACACAGCCTCATGCCGCAGCGGTCAGACAGCAGCCTCGTCGGCCACATAGAACGTTCTGTTGGGCCAGAGGTAGACGTTATATAAGCCCATAAACTTGGCAAAGTCTTCGCTCTTGACCATGCTCCAGGTTCCCAATATTCTGGTCCATTGGGAGTAATAAACCTCAGGTTTATCACTCGTAACTTCATCACCGATAAAAACTGCTCCAACGGTAGGATCACAAGCCTGTCTATACATGAAAGGCACCTCGAAATCAGACCATCCTGCAGTCTTGCATGAAAGTGAGTTTATGCGCCAACCATGCGCAAGCTATCAAGAGCTTCCTTTGGAGTGTGGCCAGCAAATTTGTCGGAAACCGTAACACTAACACTCCATGCATCGGAAGTACCTAATGCTACCTTCGCTTCGATCATACCTCAACTTTCGCTGACGGAATCCATCAGTGCCAATATTCAGAGCGGTTAAGAGCTGCGTTTTTGCGTTTCTGGCAGTGACCCTGGCTGGCAGAGGTCAGGGCCGGGTGGGACAGGGACAGGTCAGCCGCGCTCGCGCAGGGACCAGGCAGCGGTGCAGGCTCGCATGCCGCGGGAGGCCAGGGTCACTGCACTAATCCGCCCGCCGCGCTGCCGCTGTCGAAGCCAGCCAACTTCCCGATTTTGTCCGGCCGGAGCCGAACGGAGCACGGCCGCTGACGAACGACGCCGGAGAGCTTTGACGCTTCTGAGAATAAAAGCAATGCAATTACATAAGCGGCGACTGACTCGTGCTGTTAGTATAGACATTGTGCTGCGATAAGACGATGAGTAAGACAATTAGGAATTTCGTGAACGAAAAAATGGACATAGATGAGCTCATCATTGCCACTAACGAAGACCGTTAACAACATTCACTGAAGTCTTGAGGTTCGTAACCGCTTCAACAAGTGGGCAAAAAAGGAAGTTTGTTTACCTTCACAGAATGCAGATCCGCATAGTTCGCTTCACTCAAGACGAGCCTGAATATTAAGTCCAATGTTTATGCACCTATGCATGAATACGCGAGGGCAGCGTCCTCATAACGAGAGAGCAGCGACTTTATCTACAGAAGAAATAACCCCTTGCCTGATGCTGATGGGTGTTATGTGAGGGCCGTAATCTCAAAACACAGCCCCATCTCAAGGAAAGAACACGTAGTAAGCAGCATCGCATGTCAGGTGCCGCTCGCATACCTCCTACTGAGTACTGACAGTCACTGGAGGTCCGCTAGCATACCTCCAGTGACTGTCGAACACAACTCAGAGTCTAACGTCTGTTATACGACGGGGTGGGTCACGGGACGCAGGACGATAGGGGTGACGCTGGATGACAGGAACGCGGCCCGATACCCGTGGATACACCTCCTCTCCTGACATACCTATAGGGACCTGTACGACTCGATCATCGACGATCATAGAAACAAAAGGTGTGACATATCGAATAGAATGGACAGGTAATAACTTGGCGATGTTAAGCTGTGATCAGAATGTGTCACTGGCTGGGCTGCTGACGGGCAATTATGACTGGGCTGCATAAGCACTCGTGAGCTATTTGATCGCCAGAACGTCGTCATAATAACAATCAATTTTGTTAAATAACTTACCCCTTTAGCGAAGCAGAAACCAATAAAAACACTATTTGTCCATCATTCAACCCATTCACTGTCCCGAGTGTCGTTTCATTCAGAACTCCGTTCGCAGTTAATGGTTTGCCCAGAGGGGTACCGAGGCCGGATGCCGGATACCGAAAACTGACAGGCTCTCAGCCCCACGGGGACAGGAATAGGCGCCAGCCGGACGATCCGCCAGAGCCAGCAGGCAGCTCGAGATAATCCTCAATGTTCGGTCGCTGTGGTCAAGTTCACGGGCTTCGAGCGCCCACCTTCATGTGGTCGTGCGTTGAGATAGGCTGTGCCGCATTACACTAGCGCCTGATGGGTAGGCTGTACCGCGATACTCGATAGAATGACGTGCGCTGCTCCCGCCGCTCATGGAATCAAAGCGCTGATCATGTGCGCACTGTGTTCCCAGAGCAACGAAAGTCGAAACCATGTGCTGTTGAAAACAGTGATAACTGTAGGTAGATCGAATGCCATGTTTCCAGCCGTCAGCTTAACGATGCCATGGGCGTGATTATGGTAATGACGCTATAAGATATCTTACGATGGTTTAATATGACAGTGGTCACAAGACATTCTTCCGAAGGCGAACAGTCATATTGGCGACAGTAAAAGCAAGGTTTTTCGTCATAAGGCAGATTTCATACTCCAGTTTTTTTATTAAAATGTCAGCATCAATGGAAATACACGATGTTCTAGGTCAAGACATGACAGCTTCAACAAAAAACAACATATTCTGCTGCCTGGCACATTTCCGACCCGAAACGCATACTACCCAAATAAAAAGCGACTCGAAGCCCATCCAGGCAAGGTGCACAGCCTCATTTATCAATGCTCACTTCAACCTGAGCAGAGAACAGAGAACAATGTAACAAATCGAGACACAACACTTCACCACGATTCGGTCGCCTGGCCAGCCTGATACGACACATCACGTGACCACTTTAATCCCCAACAACCCTACCGGCGATCGGTCCGCAAATCAAGTGTCCGTCGCTCGCCGAGTATCTTAAAATCACGTATCTCCATCGTTCTCGGGCATGGCCGGCGGCCAGTCGAGCTCGATCGACTCGACGTCGAGTGCGAGTATGTCGAACGTGCCCCCGAGGAGGGTGCCCACGTTCGGCTCGGTGCGACCCAGGTCACCGTGCACGAACTCCTTGATGTAGGTGCCCGCCTGCGTCTGAAGATGCAGCTGAAACGGAGAATAGAATGTCACGGTGTCGGCAGAGACGAGGCGACCGAGAGATGTGCGAGGCGAGGCAACTACTGTCGTCTTTTTTTGAAAACACGCACTTTTATTTAGGGCTTAAACGTCACTGAGAAAGCACAAAAAAAAACACGATAAAGCATTTGTAAATGACTTACGCCATGACAGCATCGTAGTTTTGGCAAAAACAATAAATAAAGACGACGCATAACTTCCAAAGACATGCAACATAAAAGCACACCAACTTACCCGACATGCCATCAGTTGGACGGAAGGAGAGGGATGGATATTTGTTTATCGGTCTCGGCTCAGCGCCTTTACACACCGTGCTAACACGCCACAAAAGGCCGAGGTATGCGGCGGAGATGCCAGCGAGGATTAGCTGGGTCCATGCAGATCAGACAGAGTACTGTCTGACAAACGCGGCATTAGCATCGGTAATGGTAATGAGGCCCAAGATTAATTGTTCTACTGAATGGACAACAAGCCGGCTACCGACCAATGGCCATGACACGTCTGCCATCGAACTCGGTATTTTAGGAATGCTAATTACGAACCAGTTGCAGTGCATCAAGTATCGACTTTGGTGGAGAGTCAATAGAAGATGGACGTTGAGTATTTAAAATAATTAAAAAGTTTTTTTTTCCCTGAGAAGCGGGAAGCTGGAATGCCGATAAGTACTGATGCCACCGATTTTTAAAACAATGGAAAAATTGTAGGGAAATCTTATTTATTTTTCGTAAGTACAAGAAAAAGAAACTATTTGCCTTGAAACATGAGCATTTACAATTCTTTTGTCGGATGCGGTTTGGCAATTTGTACGCTAAGGAATGCGGTTATTCACGGAAAGCCACCGATATCGAACCAGAAGCATTTAAAAACAAGGCTATCCAC